TTCCGAATATAATTTTGCGATACACTTAATTTCAACAGTCGCGCTATAATTCTCAACGAACTTCTCATGTGCTTAACAATATTCTCTCTCACTGCAGTTCAATTACTCATTACCTCTTTTCCCGTCACGTTGTGAACGTCTTATATATACAAGACTAACACACATCTAGTAAATGCTAGGGCATTCTTGAAGGAACAGGATAGTTCCAGAAACAGGTGGCGTGATACTAGTCACGTGACCTCGCTGACGCAACAGTATATAATACGTAGTAGATTTGATTGAAATCGAATGAATTTAGAACATCTAAACGTAAATACTAATATTTTTAAAGCACGTGGAATTCGTGTATAAAATCTAATGAATACTTAAAGTTCGATGAATGTTTAAACTTCCAAATAAACAAAGCAGTAAACATCTTCACATTAAATCCTTATTTAAAACAACAACAGAGAACTGTACCGATTTTATGAGTTTGTACGGAAGATTTCATTGAAAACAAAAAATATATTAACATTGAAACAAAAATACGTGTTTACCGAAAGTATATACGAAAAAGAAACCGTAAGAGAACAAATAAGGCTTTTCATGTAGATATTAAATTAAACCATAAATGCTGTATGCATACAATTACGTCACAAAAATCTTATTTTCACGAAAGGTAACAAGATGTATAAATAGGACAAGAAAAAAAAAACATATATATTGATACCCATGAAAACATGTCAATTACAACACTTAACAATGTAAAAAAATGCCTACAATAAGATATATTTGCCAGCCTGTGAAAACATAGCAATGCACTTACTTAATAATGTAAACAAAAAGTATTTGCCTACAATAAGCCTTGCCACTTTAAGAAGACATGGCAATGATCATACGTAACAATGTAGAAAAGTCTTTGCCTACAATAAGATAAATATTGCCAGCTTATGAAGACATGGCAATGAGCCTAAATACCAATGTAGAAACGTCTTTGCCTACAATAAGATAAATATTGCCAGCTTATGAAGACATAGCAATGATCAAACTTAACAACGTAAAAAATATCTTTGCCTGCAATAAAATAAGCCTTGCCACTATAAGAAGACATGGCAATGAGTCTAAATACCAATGTAGAAACGTCTTTGCCTACAATAAGATAAATATTGCCAGCTTATGAAGACATTGCAATGAGCAAACTTAACAATGTAAAAAATAACATAAATCTTGCCAGTTTAAGAAGACATGGAAATTAGCATACTTAGCAATGTAAAAAAAAAAAAAATGTCTTTGCCTACAATAAGATAAACCTTGCCAGCTTAAGAAAACATGGCAATGAGTATACCTCACAATGTAAAAAAATGTCTTTGCCTTTGATAAAATAATACCTGCCAAATACAAGTTTAAACTAGGGTACACTCAGTGGAGCGCATACCTCCGCCACGCAGCGTTAATCATACTTCTCTCAAAAAATACGAAAACATGTCCGTCCTTATCAACGGACACGGTTCATTTTTGGCAGGACAACGAGGAATAACATTCTACATATGTCCAACAAGTTTCATCAAAATCCGATCATTTTTGACTAAGTAACAGGCCAAAAATAGCGTGAAAATTCGGTCTTCATGTTATAAGATAGGGATTTTTTTTATCTTCGTGACCTTGATAGTACAAAAACTAATGACTTTTAAGTTGGGTCATAGTCCAAATGTATACCAACTTTAGTCCAAAGCTCTTCAGCCATTTTTGAGAAATATTACTGACAAACATACACACATGGGTGAAACATAACTTCCGTCCACCTTCTGCATCGAATGCATCAAGATAGGCGTGATTAAGGGTTAAAATTACATTTTAACTATATTTGCAAAATCGATTGATTCAAATTTCACAATATTCACAGACTGTTTTTCCGACATTTTGACAAGTTGTAAGATGAAACGTAGTCAATACATTTGCACGATATGTAAGATTAGAATACTGTGTCGGCTTCAGATAAAATACGTGGTCCAATGGAGAGAGTCGTACAGCTTTAATTACAGAAGTAAAGAAAAAAAAAAGTGCATAAATTACAATTAATGTTTGCATTTAACCACGTAGCATACATGCCCTAAGCCTAACTGCGTATCTGAGAAAGCTTGACATAAGTAAATTTGAAAATTGTTAATCCGATGGGAAAAAGAATCTCTGGAATTATCATGAAATCAAAAATGTTATAAGGCCTAATTATCAAAAATAAAAATGTTATAAGGCCTAATTTCTACAAGCCTAATTATCAAAAATAAAAATATTATAAGGCCTAATTTCTACAAGCCTAAGTATCTAAGAAATAATCTTGTAAGCATCTGTTTCCTTTTAAATGAATATCATAATGACCACGTAATCCAGTGTGTAGAGCTTGCTAATGTCCATCTATAATGTTGACAAGATATAGAAAGAAAGAGCAGGCCAAGAATCATCAAGTTAATTATACAGGACTACAATTATAACATTAACTTTGGATGCTCCTGCAACATACACGAAACTAGTATTTTAAGAAGTTACTTGGTTAATTTTTATATAATTATCATCATGGTCTTAGTATGTTGAAACTAGATAACATAATTATATTAATAAATTGTTTAATTTATATACAAATGACATAAACAGAAAATTGCTAATTGTGTAACTAAAACTATTAAATATAATAATACAAGAGCAACCAGAGGCACTTTTCGAGATTACATGCGTTTATATTAGGGGAACGTCAAATTTCACCTTCGAAAACTCAGAAAATCCTTTTCAGATCCAGAATGATCAACAATCTGGATCACTTTCTGTATTGTTATGAGGAGTCTCAACCTTAACGTGCCCATGAAATACGGTACAACTCCGATCACACTTTACAACTTATCTCCCCATTATAATAAGTCCTTCAAATTGATCCAGAAACCAGATCCGGACCAAATTTGGGGAGGACTGTCCCATACTGGCTTCCCATCTTGGGTAAAATTTTCGCATACATAGGTCTATTAGTTTTCGAGATACGCACGCGAAAACACAGACTCAATTGCAATACCCTCGGGAGCTAGGGTAAGAAGTTTAGAAAAATGTATTACCAGTTTAACGACTGAATTTGAAAAATTACAAAAACTTTAATAAAACTTCTTATAAACTTCGTTTAAATAAAGTGACATAATTCAAAGTTAAAGTAACAACAGTGGCCTACTTAATCTACAGGCTTACTGGCAAATAGTGAAACGAATAAATTTAATTTTTTTTACTGTGCATTAATTTTTGTCTTCAGAAGATTATTACAATCAACTTACTAATGACAGAGAAAAAAATTATCCACCCAATGTAAGATAAGAAAGTCTAGGAAAGTGTCCATCTGGTGTAACATTCAGCTTATGAGAAAAATGTTTACCCTACATATCATAAAAATCATTGTATTTTAAATGATGTAAATACCATTACATCTCCATGTTGTAAATCACAACAGTAAGTGTAATGTAAATAAACTATTTCTCATTATCAGGAAGACATAACAAGCTATTGAACCAGTTTTCCTTCTGTTGAATTTTACAATGTTTTTTGAGTTGACAGAACCCAATACCAATTTCCTGAAAATATTCAATTTTTGTAGTATTAATAGTGAAGAATAATGGAAGTTGACTGAGAGAAATCAAAATAAATCTAGTTGCATTTTAATTGTTTTTCTGTTTAATGGGGAAAACTTCTTAGGATCCAGAAACTAGCATGGTTATCATATGATTGAATAAGCTTATTATTGAAGACAAACATCAAACTTGCAAGTATACAACCTTGTGAGACTTAGCTATCAAGATTTGACTTTTCAAAGTGATAACCATTTTGAATTAATTGAAATAATGACCATACAAGTATTTTGTTAAAACCATTGTAACTTCTGGAAAACCTTTCATTGAATATTTTGTAATGAATAACACAAAAGTGATTGGCTAAAACCAGAATCATCCAGTCTCACAAGTATAAATGAAGAAACACATGCAATAAACTGTTTTATTTGTACATTTGTTACATGTATATGACATTATCTTTCCCCATTTGTGATTTCAATACTATCAAAGTCAAAATTTACAAAGCATTTAAACTCATTGCCAAGATTTCTTGCATGCTGGGGTGAGAAATTACATGGTTGAATGTCCAGTAGTTTTCTTGCATCATCCTCCATTACTGCACCTATAAAACAAAGAACGACAACATGAATTCTATGTCATAAAACATTTCAAAAAGTGAGCATATCTTACAACAAACATATATTACGTCTTGTTCAACTCTGTCAAAAACCTCTAAATATTTTTCAATAAAAGAACAATCTAAAATTTGTTTACAAAATATTATGTTTTCAGATAAAACAGACTTTTCACATATTATAACAAATACTGTATTCTGAAAACCCTGTCAGAATGTTACAAGAAAACACATTACATAACAACTAGACCAATTTCACTTTAGCATTTTCTGTTTATGTGTTTGCTTTTTAGAGCAAAGCCATATCAGGCTATCCGCTGTATCCACTGCAGGGAATCGAACCCCAGAGTATACTACTGTTCCACTGGGGAGAAAGTTTTATTTGGAGGGGTAGAATATCTGGTTAACTGAATCACAAGTTGCATTTAAGACTACAAAATCAAAGTTTGGTAATAAATGTTGGGCTTATCTTTCTTTTATCATTCAAGATAATAATTCCTTTTTTTTATTACACTTTTATCAGAATCTAACTAAGAAATTAATATAAACAACTAATGAGGGTATACTATATATTTTTTTTACATCCCTTATTGAGGCTACAAAGTAGATATAACAACAGTATCTACCCATACAAAATGAATTCAATGCAAAAACCTTGGTTTCCTATCATTTTGCTGTAGTATCCTATAAGAAGCAATGGTAGCGCCATCTATTCAGTAAACTGTCAAAACAATATTGACGTTTTCAATATACATAAGAATTAGTCCAAACTCCAATGAACAGTTACTGAATCCTTTAAATAGAAATGTTCATGGATATCTATCTAATTCATGAATACACACATACTATACACTCAAAAGAATTCTCAAATCAGAAAGATCAAGAAAATTGGCAACACAGAAAAAAAAACACATACAAAATGTACATGAATAACATTAAAGCTGTATTAGGTAATATCCAACACTTGGGAATTGTGAACACTTTTTAGACAGTAAAATAAACAAGATCTGCTCTCATGTAAACTTTACCAAAGACTAATTAACTCAACTACACAAAACTCTGTTATCAACAGGCACTCATGAAAACCAGTATTACATTTCTCCATACAGGTTACTGAGAATTCAGGTAATCCCATCTTAGACAAAGCATCCAACTAAACAAACTGTTTTTATACTAAGCAACATGCGTAAGTAAATTCACAAATGAATACTGGAACATAAGTAATAAAACAGCATACAAAAATACATAAAGTATTAAATTCACACTTGAATATTCCAAATATACCATCCTAATATCTACAATATGCTAAGTAATAAAAACAAAGTCATAATTCAGATTACTTGAATAACAAATAAATGCTACTACAATATGATAACATATGAAAATTGAAATATATGGCTAAAACTGTGGTAGCAGAAAGATTTAAGTGACCATCATATATAATGGTAAATATCCCGATTCAAAGAACCAGCATGTAACCACTTAAAAAGTTACATAAGATTAAAAGATATATATAAAGTTGAACTACAAACATAGAATGAAATACAAGGGCACCACACATCTTGAACTTTGATGTTATATATATATTTAATTGTATTTTTATTCAGAAAGTAATTCTTATCTTACATTCCAATCTAATCTAAAACAAATATACATCTTAATAAAAACAATGGTATGACAAATGCTTTAATTTCAGTCAGTCAAAACTGTGTGGAATTTGTGTTTCCCTTAAACATAAAAGATTATGCAAAGCTAAAAAAAAAGGCTACGTATACAGATGTGATGAATAACAGTCAACATGTAATGTTATTAACACCTATCCATGCAATTTTCACACAGATTAACACAAGCAAAGTGAAAAACAATCATGTGTTACAAGTGTAATAATGCTGTTCAAACAGATAGTAACAGCTATCCATCTAATTTTCACACAGATTAACACAAGCGAAGTGAAAAACAATCTTGTGTTACAAGTGTAATAATGCTGTTCAAACAGATACTAACACCTATCCATCCAATTTTCACACAGATTAACACAAGTGAAGTTAAAAATAATCTTGTGTCACAAGTGTAATAATGCTGTTCAAGCAGACAGTAACACCTATCCATCCAATATTCACACTGATTAACACAAGCGAAGTGAAAAACAATCTTGTGTCACAAGTGTAATAATGCTGTTCAAACAGATACTAACACCTCCATCGAACTTTCACACAGATTAACACAAGCAAAGTGAAAAACAATCTTGTGTCACAAGTGTAATAATGCTGTTCAAACAGATAGTAACAACTATCCATCCAATTTTCACACAGATTAACACAAGTGAAGTTAAAAATAATCTTGTGTCACAAGTGTAATAATGCTGTTCAAGCAGATAGTAACACCTATCCATCCAATTTTCACACAAATGAACACAAGCAAAGTTAAAAACAATCTTGTGTCACAAGTGTAATAATGCTGTTGAAACAGATACTAACACCTATCCATCCAATTTTCACACATATTAACACAAGTGAAGTTAAAAATAATCTTGTGTCACAAGTGTAATAATGCTGTTCAAGCAGACAGTAACACCTATCCATCCAATTTTCACACAGATTAACACAAGCGAAGTGAAAAACAATCTTGTGTCACAAGTATAATAATGCTGTTCAAACAGATACTAACACCTCCATCCAACTTTCACACAGATTAACACAAGCAAAGTGAAAAACAATCATGTGTTACAAGTGTAGTAATGCTGTTCAAACAGATGCACTTTTAAAACTTAAAAACATTTTAGGGAGTGTATTGCTAAATACTCTTCATTTCTGGTATTCAGATTACAATTTAATGTTTCTACTAGCAAATTTTTAAGGATAGTGAAATGCTAAATAATTTTTCTGGTGCTCAGACTACAATATAATGAGAGTTAACATAAATTAATTTTATTGAAGTGAGAACCACATTAAAAATTGTGGAACTAAAGGAATTAAAAATGTTTACTGCTGTTTTTAACATTTGTTAATTTTTATTGTACTAAGTAACAATTATATTATGCCTTAAATAGTTTGATTTTAAACCTGAACACGAACATAGCACTTCAGACAATAAAATTAGTCGAAAATATGAATAAAAAATCTGATTTATTCAAAAGAAAAAAAAAAGATCAGTTGAAATAATATCTTTCAACAAAGATTCTTTGAAATAGATAATTTTCTCCTACCAGTACATAAAATAATTTTGTCCTTTGCCAGATATTGAATGGTTAGTGAAGTCTTTTCCAAGCATTCTTTAGAGAGAAAGGGAGGATCTGCCAGAACAACATCATAGTTTTCTTTCATTGACTTTGGAAGATTTAACGGTTTGTTGAAGTCATAATATATAAAATTATCTGTGTAAACGTCAAACCTTCGATCATATTCCAAGAGATGAGTAGTCACTTCTTTTTGTTTCAAATTCTGCAGTTTTTTGAAAACTGAAGGACAGGAAATACAGGCAATCCTTGAAAACAAAAAATAAAGTATTCTAATAAATATAAGGATAAACTAAAAAGTGTTTAAAATATTCATAATTTCCTAAATTTGAAAAAGTGGAGGTGATATTTCTGAGCTTATTAACCCTAGGTACACGGGATAGAGTCAAAGTGCACATGCAACGACCTTTTACAATGTGTCATTCAACATGTATATGATGTCAGAGTTGTCAACAATTAATTTTACACTGCTCATTTAGCAACAGTTTATTTTGGACGAGAGTTAGTACTAGATACACTATACAGGGATACTCAAACAAAACATTTCAGAAGTTCTAGAGGTTATGCAATATGCAAACTCTATGGTGGACAAAAGCATTTTTATTCTCCAGGTGAACATCATCTTGCACTCCAGCTTGTCAGAGTTTAAGTCAGCTTGATGTTATCAATTCACAGACATATCTTGAGCACAAATACTTGTGTAACACATCAGATTTTTTGTTTACAGTAGGCTTGTACATTTTAATAAAAGTCTGCCACACTTTATACAGATACATGTAGTAAGTTCAGAATTATAGTCAACATTCCTTGTCCAATAGAGAGTTGATCCAATGGACCGACCACATGTGCACTTCAGTTAAAGGAAGACTACACTAAGAAAGATGAAAAAATTATCTTTTATTTATTTTCCTAATCTTATACTTCATTGATTAATACCACCTTAGCCTGTTCTCACTTTACACCCCACCCCCTCCAAGTCCTATTCTGTACCAGGTTGGTTAATATTACTTACTCTTATGACACAATATATACAAGCTCGTAGTAGCTATCCTTCTACCTGAATGGTTTATATTATTTATCTTGCTACTATGTACATTGATTGGCCCATAGTAAGTCTTATCCACTTGAGTGGTTAATAGTATTTACCTTGCTGCCCTGTATACAGGCCCATAGCACCTTTTATCCACCTGAATGGTTGATATTATTTATCTTGCTACCATGTATACAGGTCCATAGTACCTCTTAACCACCTGAATGGTTGATATTATTTATCTTGCTACTATGTACATTGATTGGCCCATAGTAAGTCTTATCCAAGTGAGTGGTTAATAGTATTTACCTTGCTGCCCTGTATACAGGCCCATAGCACCTTTTATCCACCTGAATGGTTGATATTATTTATCTTGCTCCCATGTACATAAACCTGTAGTTACAGGTAGGCAACTAGTGGTAGCTGCTAATCAATTAATTGTCAGTCCCATTGATCAATTACATTTCATTACTCAATTATTAAATGTTCCTTAAACCATGATACATACAAGCAAATGAAAAAAATTTTGGTGGATGCTGCCAACCATTTGCCTTCCCTCTAATCACCAGTTCAAAAACAAAAAATGTTGGAGGCTGGTACAGCCAGCTAGTTGTCTTCTCTCTAGTCATCAGTTCAAGAGGAAAGAAATGTTAGAGACAAGTGTTATCAGGTGCTTGTCTTCTCTCTAGTCACAGTTCAAGAGGAAAGAAAGGTTAGAGACAGGTGTTACCAGGTGCTTGTCTTCTGTCTAGTCACCAGTTCAAGGGGAAAGAAAGGTTAGAGACAGGTGTTACCAGGTGCTTGTCTTCTCTCTAGTCACCAGTTCAAGAGGAAAGAAAGGTTAGAGACAGGTGTTACCAGGTGCTTGTCTTCTCTCTAGTCACCAGTTCAAGAGGAAAGAAAGGTTAGAGACAGGTGTTACCAGGT